TCACTAACGGTTTATGAACTATTTTGGATCGCACTGTAGATATTTTCCGGCGAAATGAAATGTTTACATTTCATTAGGCAGGTTGGAAGTGTAAGGATAGGTGGGTGGGTAGGTAGGTATTTACAAAATACATATACATAATACAAACACTTATGCATTTTTATATAAAAGTTAAAACACAATTGTAATAAAATATTTCGGAAGTTTGTCAAACATAGATACCACAAGAGGCTCATTAAATATTAATAATAATAATAATAATAATAATAATAATAACAATAATAAGGGTTCTTGGATATATACTTACTAGAATATACAATATAAAAACAAAAGACTTGAAAAAACTTTGGAAACTGGAAGATGTTATAACTTTAATATTTTCTTTTAGTTTACTAACAGGAAAACAATAAAAATGAAGATCAATATCTAGTCATACTAGTGAATTTAATTATGATTTCCTAACTGTTCTAGTAAATGGGCCTTCACTGAACATTTTTTAATCTCCTATCTTATTATTTTTTAATGCATGTATGCAAAGAATTCAAATCATTAATTGCTTTTTGAAAAAAAAGTTACATTATCTTTCCCATTACTCCTTGGAACCCTAAAATTGTACTGATTCGCCCAAGTTGATTAAGAATGAATGTCTCTAACAGGTACAAAATTTTCTTCCATATATGAAGGGCACTGGTTATTTACAATTTAAAAACATGATTAAGACGTAATTGCTTATATCTGTTTTCTACATTTAATAAAGACATAATAGCAAGAATAACATTATTGACACTATCTCTAGGTCCCATACCGTAAATAAATAGAACAATTTTGACAAATTTAAAGCTTACTTTTAAATTTTGTTCAGACTCGGGTACAAAGAAGAAAATGCATTATCTAGGTGACACTGTATTAATGCTGAGCATAAATATTTTCTAGGCCTTAAATCTAAAACATTTGCTTGCCTATACAAAAACTTAAAACGTGAATTTACCTTTGTAAGGTTAAGAAGAAGAAGAAGAAGAATTTTATTTCAAAATCCACATGTAAACAACAACAACAACAGTCTGGTTTAGGCTAATAAGCCCTTGACCTGACACAAAATAAAATTAAAACATTCTCAGCAATACAATACATTACACAATACATTACAATACAATGACGGACATTGAATAATAATATTACTCACTTTCAACATATTGTTACATTCATATATTATCATAACTATATGATGTCATTTACATTTTAATTCATAACAATTATTATTTCATACATATTTATCTCTTTGATTATTTGGTTTGTTACCTTGTTCTGTATGTGTTCTTTTTACTAAACATGTTTACTTGTTTTATCATAATATGATCATATATAAATATTTATAATGTTTGGTATTACTAACATCCTACAAATGTATACATAAACATATATGTAACATTATGCCTTGTATTGAAAATGAAATTATAAGACCATTATTATTACTCCTAAAACTCTAAAGCATGACATGTTTTTATGTCAGATATGAATATGTCAGATTTAGACACACATACAAATATGCATTTTAGTATTTGACGAATTGCCTTGTATCGAAAACGAAAGTACTAATATTATTACAATAGATTCACCTGGCAAAGAATCATTGATATTTAAACCTAGATATTTGACAGATTTTGTGGATTCAATAATATGACCAATACACACAATTTTAAACTCTTTAACTTGTTTCACTTTACGCTAAGGCATTCAGTCTTTCCTAGATGAAGTGACAATTTGTTATCTACAAGCCAAGATAAACAAGACTAGTGTTTGTCCAAGTTTTTGAGAAATAATACTTAAAAAGAATTGCTCTGTCATCGGCATACAGAATAAGCTTACATTCTTGATCTATACTAATTCTCATGTCATTTACATAGCACAAATATTAAAGGGGACCCAGGACGCTACCCTTGGGAACCCCACATGTAACAGACATATATTTTGATTTTATATTATCAACACTAACAGTTTGTTTTCTACCTTTAAGATAAGACATAAAACAGTCAGTATTTGAGATACCCATCAATTTCAGTTTTCCACATAAAATATCTTGGTCAACACTATCAAATGGTTTTTGTAGGTCTAACATTATCATGCCTGTGTATAAACCTTTGGAATTATTGTGTCTGATATGATCCATAAGATGGATAATAACAAGTGTCAGTGGAATAGGAATTTCTAAAATCTGACCATAATTCATACAATAAACCATTATAGACTTAAAAATTTTTAAGTTGTGAATACACTGATTTTTCTAAAATTTTTGATACAATGCTTAAAATGCTTACAGGTCTATAATTTCCTACCTCAACTAGTTTGATTTGACAGTAGCATAAAGTCCTTTTTGACTTGGTAAAAACCATCTATATGTTTTATCATATGATGTTTTCCTGTGTGAACTCAAGCTTTTTTATTAAAGTTAACGGAGGACACGTCACAATCAAGATTTTTAGTCACATGCCTTAAACATATTGGTAGGGTAACAATCAAGCCATTTAGAAACTTGAACCCGGACCCATTTTTAACAAGGCGTGTCATATACCAAAATGTTCCAATATTTTCGTAGTTTTCAAAATGCCGGCATAAATTGGCATAAATAGTGGCGAAAAGAGAAATTCAAGATGGCGTCCAAGATGGCCGCCAAAATATTAAAATTACAACTTACTTACTAATATTTAATTTAAAAAAGTTAGAACATATGTATTTGTTCTTTTCATGGATGTTTGTATAAAATACATGTCATACACATATTTAATATCTATTTCAAATGTAGAAATATCTTTTAACAGACAAAGGCTGAAAATTGTGGTGAAAAATGCTAATATTTAAAGATGTCTGGACATTTCCCCATTATAATGCAATTTACAAATTAATTGATAAACCATGGTTTATATTACAAGAAATCATCCTGTACGTAAGAAATGTGCCATTGAAATGTTGCAAATAAATGTATTTTTTGAGAAAATGTGTATTTTCTAAGTGGGTGGGTAAAATAACAATTTAATAAAATTCACATATTCATTGCAAATAACATTTCTTTTATGTAGTTCAAATGTTATTGTTTTATATAAATTACTTGAAGAACATAAACCTATAACTTATTACACAGTTCAGTAACTTTTGGATATAGAATATGCAAGAATTGTGAATAGTTATATAGGCAATTAAGGTCTGGGAAGTGGGAAATGGTGTTTCAATTCAACCCTTTAAGTTTATGATTAAATAATTTATTCGCATTTTTCTTTCATTTTTAAGTCTATAAAAACATATTGATATATATTTCTTGCATATTTCATTTGTAAATACAAAAACTTATTCAAACATGTACGCTTTCTTTGATCAGTTTCTACATACATTGTATGTATCTTTCCCTACATTTCATGTAACTGAGTGGGTGGGGTACATAACACATTTTGAAATCTAAGGCAATTAAATAATAAATTTCATCACTTTTTCACCAAAGATTTTAAATACAATAAAGTCGCATTTGAATACAGTGAACTTGCTGAAACAGTTGAAAAGAAATGTAATTGTTGTATAATTCTAGAACAAGAGGGTCATGGTAGACCTATGTTGCATACCATGTTGACAACTGTAACTTTTGGTGATTTCATCTTAAAATCATCTTAAAAATTGGGAAAAAGGTATGTAGAATTTGATGGAGAAAATTAAAGACATTCATTTGTTGCAGTAACAATGTATGAACAATATGAAAATTATCAAAGCGGCAGAATATGAAAGATCCAAATTTGTTATGCCATACCGTTAATATCTAAGATCTAAGACTGATATTGTGTGCAATATAAAATGTATGCTTTATTCAAAATTGTATTTACTTAATAAAACTAATAACTGGCATCTATAATGTCGCCAAATTGTGAGAGATCTACAACAATTATTATCTATTGAAAATATACCTTTAAGATATATTGCAGTTTGTAATATGTTCAATTCTAAACTTTTATTTCATTCTTTTAATGACAGAAAATAACAACAACAAAAACATGCCATTCACAAGTTGGAATGTAGAACTTGAGCAGTTACTGTATAGGGTTAAAAGGTTAGACTTAATACCATGGCTTTTAACTGTTTTTTTAATCACATAATAAAAGGACGTCCGTGACCGAGTGGTTAAGGTCGTTGACTTCAAACCACTTGCCCTTCACCGTTGTGGGTTCGAATCCCGACAGGGACTTTGCATGCTTTCTTGTGAGGAAGCTCAGGTGCCTGTTCGTGCCTAAAATAATTTACGGAAGGGCACCTGAGATCTTCCTCCACCAGTAAAGTTGGAACGTCGCCAAATGACCTACACTGTATCGGTGTGCAAACAAACAAACTTATATTAAAATAAGCATATGGAAATGGGAGACCCCTAAATTTGGTAAATTGTAACAATTTTGGTATTGATGAACATGGTGATGTCACTAACATATTAATCAGTTACATGGGTAACTGAAGAAAATACCCAAATATTAGCCAAGAAGTTTATAAGAAGATCCCGTTTGAAAGTTTGAAGAAAATAGATACATGTTTTAGATTATTGTTGTTGTTCTTTTATATTTTCGGTATACCAAAGCTAATTTCTAAACTTCTTATATAATTTTAATATATGCAGACATCATGTGATTGAGCCACTTTCTCTTAGGTAACGCTAATATCATGAATTATACGCCTACACAGCACATGCAACTCCATTAAATGTGCCTCAATCACATGTTGTCTGTTGCTTTAGTAAACGGATAATTGCCCTCCGGAGAATTGTCCCCGGACAGTTGCCCCCCACCCCCGTAATGTTAGAGCGGACAATTAACCCCCTAAGTATTTGCAGTTTAAATCAATATATAAAATCAATATACATGATATATTTATAGGTATTTTGCGTCGTTTAAAAGTACTACCTGTATTATTTATTGAACCCATAAAATATTGAAATTCTTTGAGGTTTTACTTTAATCTGTCGTGACACCGATTATATATAGATCGATATAGGTATATATTTCAAAAAATCATAAGGTTTAAACTTTGTCACTGTTTTTAGGAGAGTCTACATTTTGTTTAAGTATTGATAGGACTTTGATACCCTTTTATTCGGAAAATGTGAACATGGTTTGTTGTTTATTGTTTTTTTTTATTTCTAGTTCTTGACTAATTTTGTAAAAGGACAACTTTTAACGTATCAGAAAATTTAAAAATAATAAACTTAGTGTAAATGGAAATAAAAAGACTTCATTTGATTGACTGTAGTCGCGGTTTTTGTTAAGGTTGGCAAACAATGATTTAAATCTGACAAAAACAACTTTTAGTTTTGTTTCTGTTTAATTCTTTCAGTGAGTTAATGATTTATTTGACATTCGTTTTCGTTTATATTGGAAAGGATTTAAATTACTACAGTGTTGGAGCAGTACCTGTAGACGCAAAATTAAAAAAATATCGCTTTTATCGCCAATTCTTACATTTTCCATTCATTATCATATATAAATCAGTGTGAAGAGATGAATTAGACGTTTTAAAGTTCATTCCGTCGCTGAAATGCGAGATTTTAGCATTTAATCATTCAAGCGCCTTGTCCGGTATATACCGGAATATGGTATTTAGAGTGATGCTCTAAAACTTTTTTTAGCAATCGGAACGTCTTCGGCTATTATCTATAATAGATTGTCCTTATCCGAAGACTGACGGAAAGGGCCAAAAAGTTGCGATTCTTGCAAAATGGCGGGTTTGTAAATTAAACTACCTCAAAAAAGTTTTTTTTTTAAATCATATTATGATTGCAAATACAAGTCATATGACACAAAATCATTATTTAGGCAAAATGACAATATTCGCTTAATTGTAATAAAATGTACAATCATATTCCTGAGAAATTTTCTTTTCTTTTTACCGGCAAATTGTACAAAATGGCGGATATATGAATGAAATGAAACTAGCTCAAGAAAGCTTCTTTTTTTTAAATCATATTGCATTTTGTCAATACAAGTCATATGAAACAAAACCATTACTTTGACAGAAAGGCAATATTCGCCCCGAAGTTTAGTTTTGTGAAACAGATAAGCATATAGTTCGGGAAAATTTATGGACGAATATGTAAAATAATTGTATTACCAAGAACACAATTATAAAATCAACTTATATTTCATTAGAACACTATTTAGGTCATGTTACTGTTGACCACCGTTGAGCATGAACTAAGCTTGCTTGTTGTGTTTCGTTTCTTTACTCAATATTAAATTGTTGAACCTATAATATAACTTGGTTAAATGGTGGATTTGATAAATTAATTAATCTCCTCTAATTTCACTGTCTGTCATGTACATACATGTACCGTACAAACCATATTCTCTTGAATTACATGCTCAAGTGTATAATAGTCACACAAGATGTACTAATATGATTATTTTCATATTCTGCTTTAACACTTACAATCATTTTTGTTTAGTCAGTCTCAATTTTTGACATCTATTTCATGCTAATATCAATATGTTTCTACATTTATTTTCCTACTTAAGGCAAAATATAGCTTACTTTAATGACAGATAGTGATTATTATATAACAAAACTTTCATATAAGCCTTTTATGAATATTTAAATATGATAGATACCTTTGAATATCTGATACATAGCACTGGCTCACAAACACATTACGTTCAAAATCATATTGAATGTGAAATAGCATGTAGTGTTCTACCAAAGATTGTTCTAGAATACTTTTGAAGCCTACTTCATACAGTCAACTTCATATATATCAAAATGTAAAATCTTGAACGCATGGACTGTCTTAATGTAATGACAGATATACCTGGTTAAATGTCATTATGTTGAGTCTGAGATACAATATGCTGGTTGGAAATTCCAATATGTTGGGTGAAAATCCCATTGTCAGCACAGTTATTGAAGTGTTGTGTTGTGTGCTGATTACATGTTTTTCAGCCAAGTCAATGTATTGTCGGTGCATAAGTCGTAATGTTCAGTTCTTTAAACAAACAGGCATGTGGTAACAAAATAATGTGAAGTGAAAAAGATATAATGTGAGGTATTTTTGTTATTATGTTCGGTTATAATAATACTGTTTGGTGCTCTTCTCATTATGTTCAGCCATGAAAACAAACAGTTGAGTGGAACTTTTCAAACAGTTGAGTGGAACTATCATTTTGTTTGGCTGAGACAGTGTATTATTGGTTGATACTCTCATTATTTTGTATCTCAGACTCAACAGAATGACATTTAAGCAGGTATATCAGTCATTCTACACATAATACAGTCCAGACGTTGCATAAAAGCTCAGCAAATTCGTTTGGTTTCTGTGCCTTAACAGTTATTGTAAATGAATAAGCCTTTCTTTATTTTCCTTACAGAATACAACCCACGGACAAATGGACCTTGCTGGTATACTCTTGTGCCGCCTCATTCCCAAAATGAGCTCAGTGCACTTGTTGTTTCGGGTACGTCGATTATAAAATATCATTGAAATATATTATATTAAGTTGAAATAGGGGAATGCTTTTATAAGCTAGTATATCTATGGCGTTGTTTTTATCTTTCACGCTTCACTTAATGTTGTATTATAACATCAATTGCTTACATAAAGCATAAATAAAATGAATTTAAAAAAATACATGTGTGATAATATTATAAATGAAAATGTCTTTTTGTGACACTTTATGTATAACATCATTCAACCAAAAATATTAACCTTAAAACATTCGACTATAACCTATTCAAAATATCTTATATTTTAAAATAAACTGATAATTTAAATGCCAATTATAATTTTATATGAATGCATCTTTTTGGCTTTTATTTTCAACAGTTGTAAAAAGATAAATGGTAGGAAATGTTGTCCAGAAATGATACCACAGAGATTTTAACATTAAAAGAATATTAACAATTTTCGTTGTTGTCGGCAATATTGAAAATGGGAGATGTTATACATGATTCTGCTCATTTTAAAGTCTAAATTCTTGGCATTTTCAGAGATAGTAACTGTAAAATATCCCTCTGTAGTTATAATTCGATCTTTTATTGATAATTAGGTAAAATATTATAATATTTGTAAGTAGACATTAAATTGAATGATGTTTATTTTATATCCATTTATGTTTTCGTCATAAACAAACTGCATTTACCATTGATAAATGTTTAATTGTAACTTTTTTTCTATGTTTTATTTCAATAGGTTCATTTAATGAAACATTCATAGAAAGTAATAGATCTTTTAGAATTTAATTATATATAAATTATAACAGAATCACTTTTTACATCTAAAATTTCTATGCAAGACATTAAATATATACTTATCAGAATACCTGTCCATCAAAAATAGCATAGTCAAGTTTATTTTATTATTTGACAGTAATTATACAACTTTGTGTTGTATTAAGTGCAAAAAATAATTCTTAGAAAGCTTTGAAGGGTATAATAGTTCTGAAATAGTGATATCTTCAAAACATGGAGACATAGGTCTAATTGAATATACTCATGTGGAATAATGTAAAACACTTACCCTCATACTTCTAGAAATATTATATATTGTAAGCTAAGTCAAAAACTGTTCAAATCACACCTTTTATTGATAAAAAGTTAATTCTATCATTTCTTTAATCAACTCTGAATAGCACTAAATTTGCTAGATTCAACAATAGAAGTTTCCATGAAAATATTACAAAATGCTCTTGTCACTAGTTTTCGCGACTGTCAGGATTTAAAGCCAAAATGCAAACTGAAAACAGCCTGTCATGGCTACTTATATAGACTCTGAAATAGCCAGGACTGTCACAATTAATCAATCATAACATTATTTGGCCTGTCAGTCTGGCAGGAAAGACAGGAATTTCTTAAAATGGCAGCCATATTGACAGGAATAATTTAGAAAATGTAAATTAACAAAGTTAACTTATAACAAAATATACAATGAACACTTGAATTACATGCTTAACTTAATGCACTTAAAATCTGGACCAAAAACAATCATGGTTATAGCTTAGAAAAAATGAACTTTTGATATAAAAAGATTCCAAGTGCCAGGAATTTGAATTTTCCCTCCTAACAAACTAAGAGGTCATACCGGTCATCAAAATTACTATGAAATACTGCAATGCCAGCTAAATATTTGGAAATAAACTTAAGTCTAAGGTAAATAAATATTACATTCTTTGTTCTTTCATGTAAAATGGTAAGTACTTGTATATGTTTATGAAAATAAGGTCATTTAAAGTTTTGAATCAAGGTAGACAACTCTTATTGGCCATTTTGATGCCAGGATAAACAAAGTAGATAATTAATCATTTCTTGAAGTATAAACTTCCTTAGTGTGCCTTATATAGTCCTAGAGCCTCAGAATGTCCTATATCATGGTCTTAATTCCTTCATTTACCAGAAAATTATCTAAACAAATAAAATCAGCAAATATGAATGGCTGAGGCAAGTTCAGGAATCCTGACAGGTAAAGTTCAGGAATTCTGGCAGGTAAGTTTTAAGCATTGACTGAAAAGTATTACCTCATTTGTCAATAAATTATGCTAGTTTGATGTTCAAATTGTCATAAAAATATATTCATTACAAGGTCCTAAAAGTAATTTAGTTGACAACACCTGCATTAAAATAGAGAAATTGTATATAAAAGGTTATGATTTAATGTCAATTATTTTGATAATGCTGAAAAAAAACCCAACATCATTATGTTTCTGTATTTTCAGGTCAAGGAAATGGCACCGGTTGTTTATACTCTGTTATAGCACTAGACAATAATCCTTGTATGTATATTAAGTTCAACATTTTCTTTTCTTGTATTTTATTAATTTCGTATATATAGTATATTGTAATTAAGTAGACTTTCATTTAGTTTTATGATTCTAATGCAAGTATTAAACAATCATTTATTTATATTTGACAAAGTCAAGAAACATTTGATTTCAAAACAATCAGTATAAGACGTACATAAATCTTATGTAAAATGCAAAAAATCAAACTGTTTGAGAGATGTTTGAAATTAATTAAGTCTTTCTTAATACAATTATTTTAGCTGGTATCCCGTCAACTTGTGGATATTGCTGGTATGATGATATTGTGGTCCTTCATCCACAAAATATCCGCAGTGAACTAGTCATCTCGGGTATGTTGATAACATATATCTCTTGAAATGTATCATCAATTTAGATGTGATATTAATGTTAATTTGATGAAAAGCTAGTAAAATCTTTCGTATATAAATGTACTTTTTTAAAATTGGTACACTGTTTTACTGTTCAAAGTAAAATGTTTTACTGTTCAAAGTAAAATGTAAATTCACATGTTAAACTTTTGTGTTATTGCTAAGGATGTAAACGAAAATGGAATCTAAAGAAGGGAATAAGTATATAAACTTTACATATAACATTACATGTATTCTTGACTTACATAATTAATTTTCAACAAAATTGTCAAAAATGAAATGTTGAATAAGCTTTATGCAATATTAAGTAGGCAACAATTTCATTTTATGATAATATCATTTTCAGAATGATGATGTATAGGATTTTGCTAATTAAGTCTAATTTTTTGTTATGGCTGATTATGAGAAGAGGTGAATGGCTGTTATACCACGTTGAAATAAGAAAAATTTGAAATTAAAAATGAAGTAACAAAGCAAATATAGGCAGCAGTCGTTAGTAGAACAGAGGTTATCTAAGGAAATCCTACAATCATTTTCTATTTATTTTACATATGAAATTCCTTTTTTCAAAATTATTAGATGTAGAGTTTCTGGGGATGTAAGATAAAAGTCTTTAAGATGAGTTTCACGTTAAAAGACTGTAACTATGTCTAACTATATAACCCATAGTTAAAGCTGTTTTTTATATAAATCATTTTTGGCCCTTTACACCAAACGTTTTGTCGTTCTAGAATACTTTTCCTACTCTTTTATTTTACTTTTAAAAAGAACATGCGATTTATGGTGTCATCTGGTTATGTTGTATGTTTACTTCGTGTTTTATTTATGTCGATATTTCGTAATTTGTGAAAAATAATACAATACAAAAGTTCAACAGCAATAAACCATTCAAACACTCTCAGTTATCAATGTGCACTTGTTTTAACATTATCCGATTATTTGATTAATTTAATTTGAATTTTGTTAATGTACAAGTATGTTTGATTTCATTGTAAAAATCAAATT